GGATTATCAATGCTCCACAAAGCGCTAACAGTTTCGCAACTTAACTTAGAATGATAGGATATCTGTTTGATTGTGTCGTGCACTGGACGTTGTTGGACCTCATGATTGGTCTTGTGTCAGTTAAGTGTGCTGCATCACTCAGTTTACCAATCATTTTAGCATGTGTTTTATCGCTTATTGAGCAAGATATTGATCTTCTTTATCTTGAAAATCAAACTGAAGTACATCACGTGATCCATGAATTATTGATAAACTTAGAATTCGTTAAATTTGATAAGAAAAAGCCATGAAATGATTGCAGAAAATGTGTCAAGCATCCCAGCAGAAACAACGAAGTTCAGTCCCAATCATGGTGAAACATATCACTGGATGGCGACCAACTGTCGAATTTTGGTGTTTTAGTCAGCTCCGTTTTTAGAACATACAACCATAAATTTTGATTTGCCACTTTTGTTTGCTGTCTTTTGGCTGCCCATTTGGTTAAACTAACGGATTGAAGTTGGGAATGGTGCAAGCAAATTCAAAGGGACGACACAGAGTTCCTATAAAATAGGGTTGCAAGACTGACAATTCGATGCACGAGAGCCACTGCTTGTGATACCCAGCAAAATCATTCATTGTATCTAACCACCGGCAACCATGATCTCGGGGTCCCCATTCAGGAAACCAAACGGTATTTATGTGACCCAGTGTTCTCGTTAGGATTTTCATACCCTCATACAGGTCTTAGTTCCACCACCCTTGCACTTTATCCAACAGCTTCCTGCCTCGGCAAACATCGTGCACAATGACAACCTATTGGGTGAAATGTGCAATATATTTCCCAACCACCATAGTCCATAGAGGTCGACCAATTGTTCCAGTGGACGACCGCAATTACCTAAAACTCTGCACCTAACCTCAGCATTGTTCGTCCGATTCCCCACCAGACTTGTGCAGTGCGACGTACATGTTTGAACACCCACAGTCTATTTTGCTCCTGTTCCCCTAATGACCAAATCTCCGCACAGCAGAGTAATCACTCGTCCGTTTCGTATCCTCATTCTTTGTTGTGTAACAAATGTGTTACGAGCCGTTTTATTAAATACACACTTGTGCATACATACCCATACTTAAACTTCACTGCTATTATTTCAATACCTCAAATTCATCCGTTCTATCCTCATTCTTGATGTCCAACTCACCGCTCCAAACGGAGCGATCGATTCGGTTAGAATGTGTACACCCGCGGGAGTGAATGCGTACAGATTTCTGCCCATGAGATGGATTGGATCCGGCCCAACAATAAACTTGACGCTTTGCCCCACACCTCTCCCCTCTCCACAATCGAAATGAAGTCACTCTGTAAACTGATTGCCAGCTTGCTTCTTTCTATCTGTGAACGGAGATCAACCATCGGGCGTGAGTGTGGTTCCCAAATGGGAGCGATGTTCGACTGTGCATCGATCACCGAAATCGGTTTGTCTGATTGCATGTCTTTGTACTTTTTCATTGTTAGTACAGCTTTAGCTGATCAGATTGATTTGTACGCTATTTGTTTTTACGGCCTGAGGTTTTCACTGTACGACTTACAGTGAATAGATGGATGGATGAACGAATGAATGAATGTGTGCATGCGTGCGTGCGTGCATGTATGCATTTATTTACGTGCACTCCAAATGCTATTAACCCCACCCGGTTTTCGAGGGATCTCTCGGAAACAAAACCATCCAGATTGATCAAATTTGATGAGATGATGATGCAATTCATTACAGTTGCGGGACACTAAATGGGTTTTTTTAAGGACTTTGATAAACTGAGTTATCCCAGAAAAGTTGCACACGGGTAAGCGAATTGTTAATAAACCTAACTCAGGAAGGTGATGAAAATATCTAAGTGGTTCCAAAACTCTATCATCCATGATTGAAACAGCACGGACAGGTACACAGCTAATCAGGTCCTGGATTACCTGAACTCCGGCAATGTTCTACTCCTCAAAAGTTACTGTCTTTAATTTTTGGGCATAAACGTGTGAAGTGGTCTTATTCATAGATCACAGGCAATTTTACTGGGGGTTAAATTACGGCTTTGAGCTGGCAAAGCCACACTCTTCAACCATGGCGGAGAGACTGCACCTTGACGTGGTGTGATGGCTTGTGTACCTCTGTGACCCAACGAGCTACACAGGGTGGCTTTTGTCAAACCAAGAGATCTAATCATGCCTGGAAGGTCAGACGAAGTCCAGTCTCCTGGTCCTCCAGGCTAGGGGTTCGACTGGAATTTGCCTCTCAGTCGGTAAAAATGGTGGTGGAGTAATCGATCCAAGTTAATGGGCCTCCACTTCACTTCATCCGCTGCTTTGCAGTTAGGTTTTTGTCAGAACTAAAGACTTTGGACGAGAACCCTAATCGTTCTCCTGCTTAATGGCTGGACACCCTAGCAGTACCCGTCCATCAAACCCCAATGCATAGACAAAATAAAAATAATTCCATACTGCATCGGTCGTCGCTCAGGATAATCAGGACCGCGCTGCCCATTGCATCGAGCGGGATGGATAGGGATAAGTGAGCTACTGTTGTGATATCCTAACCTTTGTTCAGTTCTTTGTCTACCACACCCAGCCCTCTGCATTTGCCCCTCCCTCCCATCTGCAACAGCCTCTCAAACAAATTGGAAGTCGCTCGCCTACGATCTGTGAAGTTCAATTCATTGTATTTCGCTGTATGATGATGACGATCATTATCATTCTTTATGTTTTGATGCAGCAAACACATTTTAGCTTCGTAGGCTCTATGTAGCAAAGCCTTGTCATGTTTGGATAATCATGGTTCCCATCAGATGTGCTGGAATAGCGGAGAGAAGAAATTCGGTCAAGGTTTTGACGTTGGATTAAAACCGTCTGACTTGCTTCGAGAATCGCCAACCGAAACTTTCTATCTGCAGAAGTGATATCCCAAACTATCACAAAGCCCCTCGGTAGGATTGACGACCGAAGGTAGAGTAAATAATACAGGAGTAGTCAGTCAGGAGTATCCATCAACAACTTTTGCTCATCGCTGATTCTTACACCGTTCCATTTAGCAATTCAGTTGGAGTGAATTATAACCTGCATAACTCGATCATCAAACCTATTAGGAATAGATTTCAATTTTTTTGTGTCACTATTCCCAGTCCATGTAATCTAGAATTTGATATTCGTGTTCCATTAGGCTCGCATAATTATTGATACATAAGTGCACATTGATTTTATTCGCCCAGTCGTATCATCATCCTGCGGAATACCTACTATTACATGACCAGTGAATAGATTACCGCTGGATATTCACGAGAACCAGAGATCAATTGAGGATAATGTTACTGTTCATCCGACATATATGTAATAAAAGGAATAGTAAGGGTGTTAGTGTAGTGACGTACTACTCACATTAATGAATAGCATGATCGGTGCGCACAAAAGAAAGCGGTTGCTAATTCCCAGGATATACAAAAATGAAGGAGACATCCAGGGACGGATTCGTGCACTCAATATTGTATCAGAGAAAGATAAAAATGGATTGTTGGATCGACTGATTACTGATCACACGCGTACCTATCAAACTACTCACTAATGTGAGTGGAACTTTACCACAGTATTAGTGGTATAGTAGTAGTAGTAGTGGTAGTAGTAGTAGTAGTAGTAGTAGTAGTAGTAGTAGTAGTAGTAGTAATGAGAAACAGAAAATCATGAATTTACAACTGTTTTCTGCTTTGTTTTCCGGCATTTAGAGTCTATTATGTACTGACTGTAGTATAAAAAACGAGATTTTGTACTCTGCAAACCCATCATTATTCACATGATTCGGTGACACAGAAACGGCTTCAATATTTTATTCCAACTCCACAAGCGCACTACCGATCGATCATAGGTAGATGTGTTGAGTACGGGATAGGTTGAATGGATGACATTTTCATAGTTTGTTACAGGATTCAAGTGATTCCCTAAACCGTGAATTTCTCCGTTCCGAATAAAAACTGGTCCGTTCATCTGTCCATCCGTGAGTCCGTCCATCGTGTGAACTGTAAACGTATTTCTTGTCCATTACGCATCACTCCTGACTGATTCCGCAATTGTCATTGCTTTTATTTGCGGAGATTTGGGAGGAGCCAACACGACAAACGCACTCCGAGTAGTGTGGCACAAATAAAAAAAAATAAACCCTATCCGAATGCAAGCAAAACACCGAGCTCACCGGAAAAAGCTAACGCATAAAGCACACGTGCAAGAAACATAAAAACTTATCACTTCACAGGTCAAATGGAATGACAAATTTCAAGTGCAAAGATACATCCTTGACACGAGGGACATGGGAATGAACACAGAAAAACCTAAATGCCTCGAAACATTTTCCCGATTGACGATGCAAATTCGAGCAAACCGCTCGCATCATTTCGGTCTGTTTCAAACAAGACAGACAGGGGAGAGTAAAACAGATGTGAAGTAAATAATGCTATCATTGAATCACAAATGTGATCAATCCGTTGTTTGAATTCATCCCAGTATGGAATCTGCTTTCAAACTGACAGGAAAACACAAATAGACGAATAAATACCTAACAGTGAACTGCAAGTTTGGGAACCTGTATGCATCTAAAAAGAAGCAAAATATCAGTGAGGACAATGATGACACGTATCTTGTCGCTGCGTTATTTCTGGAACAATGTCAGCCTTATTCTGTCCAGAGCGTGAAGACCAATTCGATTTTGTCACAACAAGCACTTATAGGATGTAGGTGCAATACGTGACCAATATTGGTCGATTTGAACACACATGAGTACAATCGAATTGATGTGTACAAGCCCGGAAGGGTACGATGTCGTGATTCCATGCGCCTGATTGCCGTTTCGAGCGAGGAAACGTGCAACACCAGGATCAACCGGTAGTTGCGGTGATTATACGGATTGATTTGCGAGTTTTTCGGGGGAATACACAATGATACGCTGTGCAAATAAAATCATCCAGAGAGAAGAAAATAACGGAAGTCATCATAATGGTTTACAGAAGGCGCGTCGTTTCTTTCTTCGCACGGACAATGCTGCACGAGTGGCCAGTTCAAACACCTCGCGCACGTTCTCTTTCGTTTTCGCGGAACACTCAATATGACCAAAGGCACCTGTGAAATTTCACAAATCAGATAGAATGATGCACAAAACTGAGCAAATTATCAAAGTGTTTTCGAGGTGAACAGAACTGACAAAATAGAACCCTCCCCCCGCACCCCGGGATAGCCATAAGCCTTTTTTGAAGTTGTTCACAATGAAAAAATTCAGAAACTAAATAACTAAAACTGATCAGGCCGATTAACATTCAACGTTCAAGTAGGAGAACAAAACTTCTAAAAGAAAATAATGATTTAAACTGAATAAGAGGATAGATGAACACTCCGAACAATTAGTTCTCAATGGCATGCAAAATATAATTATGACTGTCAAAATTAGGCTTCTAATTCATTGTTATAAAGTTATGATGTATCTCATCCATATTGATCAATATAGTTAGCCAATGAAAAATTTTATGAGAAAACTTATCAACGATACAATGATAAAACACGAGAACGGATGAGGTGAATAGGTAAACGAAGTGGAACAATCATTTCTGCCTTCTATAGAAATCATCCTATTTATTCGTCGACTAAAGTGTTGACTTTCGCGAGTCGCAATACAATGTATAAATATCTCAGCTTCTGGGAAAAGCGAAAAATAAACCATTCGGTCAGATCGAAGGTCGTTAGATGGGGCTATTAGGACATATACTGTTCCAAGGTATCAGACTGACTGGTTATCGCTGAATATCATATCTGAACAACTAATTAACTAACTCGATAATTCTACAGAGCCCTGGGGGAAGGTAGGTTAACACAGGGATAACAAACATGTGCTTTCATGCGATGGGTCAAGAGTATGAAACCGGCGAATGTTTGACCGAAAGCGATATCTTCCATCAGTTTAGATACATCCCTTTTTTCACTTTGTAATTCAGCATTAAAATCAAAACCTATATGAACTCTTCAAAGCCTGTTTGCATTCTCACATGTTCCGGTTCTCTGCAATACTACAACTGAGTCCGGTAAAGGGGAGGGGGTGAACAGCTTCATTGAGATGCCAGCGGTGAATAATTCAACTTGGCTTTGTCTGCGGATTTCACAACCCTGACCCAAGGACTAAGTCAAACAGTTCGAGTGCGATTAACCCAGTTGGAGTTCTCACGATCAACATGATCAATACCGAAAGATACTGAGATATATGATGATATCATGATTTACGCTGTCCCGAATAGTAGCACTCATGTATCGACTTGTATTCTACGCAAAACACTCAGTTTTACTCCCTTCTGCACTGGTCAACTAAAAGACAGGGATCGAAAAAGGCGCCAGAAGGTGTGCAATTAATGATTGTATAAATTTATTTAAACTAACTTTTGTTAGTAATTTTGCAGGTATTGCGACACTTTCTGTAAACAGACGGTTGATTCTTTTGTAAGTTCAACTGTATGCTACATTTCGAAAATCCTGGTCTTATTCCTCAAGCGACTTTTACATTTATTACCACTGTTTTTGTTTCCAATCTATGTTGTTCTTTGTCTTTTTATTGAAGTTGTGGACAACCATTGGAAAATAGTTTTTTTTCTGTTCTTCTCACGGAGCATTCCGATGTTGTAATTTATTCGGTCTCTACCGAAACACTTTTTCGATTCGACACCACTTATAACAGTCCTAATGGTTGGTTCGAAATTTCAAGATTTGACTTCCATGCGCTACATAGTACTTTACTGGACGTACTCAGGATGCCCGATGCCTTCTGAATGATCAATATGTCCGTGAGAGCCACTTTGTTATCCTTCTCCACTGTAAACTCTGTATTATAACCGTTGCATAAAGTGCTGCGTATCCGTTTTGGTTTCTTCCTTTCCCTAATTGATGAGACAGTTTTCAGTGCAAGAGAATAACCGTTTGTGGATATTTACTCCAGTGCTTGCTTTCGAGGATTTTACTATGAATCCAGATGGTGACTACTCTGGTTGTGTTTTTCTGATCTCATTGCAAATTTCAACATCCATCCCCAGGAAGTTCGATGCTGGAACACCATCGATGCGATTGAGTTCTGTTGTTTGGTTGGACAGACATTTTTCATACAATCCCCGTGCGTGCAAGTAGGTATGTGGGTTCTCAACGCAGTTAGAACGTAAACCCGTCAAATATGGGATTGAATATTATCAATTACAATTCGTTCCGGTAGCATTCGTATTCCATTGATGGTCAACAATACGGAGTCAGAGCAGTCGAATCCGCCGCTGTCCTGCTTTGCACAAATGTGATCTTAATACTGCTACCTTGCCGACGTGATTGCACTCAACAGACTCGTGTCGGTGAATTTCGCCCCGCCCCTACCCTTATCACGTATATACACGTGGACAGACACACCCGTAAATATACCCAGCTTCTAATCAGGGCCTATCTGATTCTATAGCCATAACAAACGACAAGCATTTTTCTTATGTCCTTTACGTGGGTTAATTTTAGCCCGCTGTTGTCCGGTTATTTTTATTTCACCATGGGTGTGTGATAAAATTTGATAAGAGTTCACGTCATCTAGCTAACTAAGCTTGTTTTCGAGATTCGTGGCCAAGACTAAGCTTCTTTTGTGAACATTTCACGTCATTTACATGCGATGGAAATGTTTGTGATAACCGATAAAGAGCTCTGAACAGCTGTTTCATCCTGTTTGGGACTCATCAGCACTGCGTACTCAAGAGTTTCTGGTGCCTCTTAACAATCGAATGGGCTAATCCAAGCTTACTACCGTAAACATTTCACTATCATGTTGTGAACCGTCGCACGTAGTTCTACTCTGTACCACTCGGTACGATGTTGGAAAAATTACAAATAAGTAGTACGCATCAGTGAAACATCAGGATAGAAGGAACAATGACTGATTCTCTTTGCGGTTACATAATCAGGACGTGAATGGTTTTGCAAACATTTTCATACACGCAGTGGTGGTGTTGTGAGGTACTACTCACACTTGTGAGTAGATTCCACGCAACAGGAAGTGGTTATTGAGTTCGCACGGAGTTTGCGAGTGGATTAAAGGATTTACTTTTGTAACTACGGAAAATGCGTGTCTATTGTCGGACCGTTCGAGTAATTATCCTGTATTCTTGTGGAAATTCTGAAAACTTGTTTATTTTCTTATGTACACCAATTTACGGATACCCTTAACGTTATTTGTAACCAGTAGCCATCCTCGTCTCTGCACCGTCTTATGGATTGATAATAAGTAGTAGTAGTAGTAGTAGTAGTAGTAGTAGTAGTAGTAGTAGTAGTAGTAGTAGTACTAGTAGTAGTAGTAGTAGTAGTAGTAGTAGTAGTAGTAGTAGTAGTAGTAGTAGTAGTAGAATAGTAATAGAAATAGTTACAGCATCAATAGTAGTAATCATAGCATGAACAGTTTTACACTCACCTATCTGATTTCCAATGAATTTGGCCTCGTCCACCGTGGTAGGTTTCTGATCATAACGAGCCAGCTCGTTCCAAACTTTCTCGTCATATCTCGTGTCTAATTTGTTCCCCACCAGAACAATGGGAACATTGGGACAGAAATGCTTGACTTCCGGTGCCCATTTTTCTTTGATATTGGCCAAACTGTCGGGGCTGAAATATATAATGAATACATGCCGATCACGCATGTGCGAGAGAGAACGAATGAGCGGAAGAGTATACTAGTTTGAGATGAGGTTGGGTACCATTCCACTTGAACAGATAAACGGAAGTGCTAACAGACCGAACAAAGTCACTAATTACAGTACAGACAGGACAGGATCGATTTAAACAACGCATTATTCTAAAATTCGTTGACCTGCATTTCTAGGATTGGTTTACTCTTCATATCATCAATGCGTTTCAATATGTCAATGTATTCCGTGATTATTTTTTTCATTTTCCTCAGGTCAGTAAAGTTATTTCATCGAATAAATATTCACTCACCTTTTCAAATGACGAAATGATTTTCCTTTATATTAACAACCATGATGTCAGTTGTTGTCCATTCATTAGTTATAGTTCAATCATGGTTGCTGGGCGGTTATATAAATAGTAATCTCACAGGGAGAACACAAGCATGCTACCCACTCTGTCACCGGACAGCTGATCACATCGTTTTTAATTTTTCATTTACAAGATATAGCACAACCGATCTCTGGTTCAATCCCCATTTGGGTCGATGGATTCGTACTGCTAATGAAACAAAACCAGATCGAAAACAGCTGTCCACTACTTTTTAACTATTCAGTTCACGCTTCATTTGCTCTATATACACGACAAATTTTCCTTTTGAAACTGAATCAAATCCTTCATTAGGCACAATAAACATGTCAACTTCGTTTGTTTGAATAGATAGTCTCAAGCGTCAAACAATCCTCCTATTCGAGGTTTCAACAGCATCATTTACATAAGTTCCGTTTGTTCTCCTATTTTTGGTTTGTTTCAGAAGGCACAACTCGAATGTTTTGGGGAAATGAGGCTTGTATTTTGTGCTAATAATATGACAATACCTGTGTACATCAACGCAGCCATAACACCCAGTCCTTTTATTATGCACCACACACATATTAGTAATGGAACCAGCATGCAGTACACAAATGATTTAACCATGAGCGTACTTTTAACAAAAGATTACGTAAAAATTCACCCGGACAATTCTATCGAGGTACAGTTAACGTCCATTGTCCCAAGGTGGTAAATCAACAAGAGTGAAATTACGATCACAGTCAGTATGCGCTTTTCCCTCATGGCTAGTCACACTAACTTGATCCAAAATACTGTTCAACGCGCTTTGGTAAATGCTGACAAGTCAGCCTAATCGAGCTTGAATACGCATGCAACGGAAAACTATAGAGTCCACTACGAGACAAACTATTCGATTAGTTGAATGTACTCATGATAAACAAACAGACTCGTTGTGAAATGATCACCTTTGAATTTCAACTGAGAAAAAACTTTTTATTATCATATGATCCTGTAATTTAGAGAAGAAATGCTTTTCGTTCACAACGAAAGTTACAAGTCTCGCGAAAGTAACCAGCTATCAAGCCGAGTGATACGCGCAAACTCGACAGTGTGTGTGACAGTAACTATATACCGTTGTCTAGTTTTCTTTTCTATTCACATCTTCTTTCTTGTGTTTGTGAAGCATTCTATCTATTCTTCAATCATACACAGTCCTCAAATATTTTATTCTGTACAGAAATCACCATCCTGCTTACCCCTGAATAAGTAGCATTATGATAGGTTGCAAAAATAGAACGTACTACATTTTATATAACCAATGCGAAGAAACCATTTGATCGACTCAGAGGTGCTCAAGTTGACGTGCTGTCTGAAAATTCTTGAGTCTGGTCCACTATAGAGTCTACAGATGTACACAGCTGCTCACGCCAAAAACGGTTGGACTATCTGTATAAATTTTATCGGTTTTTCAGTTTATATCATTTGCCTTATACGCGACCTTGTCTTTCTGCGAGCAGAACCACTTTTGTTCGTTTTTTACTTTAAAGGATTCCTTAAAGATTTTTTCTCCTACAATCTGAATTGAAGACTTCGTACAAACACTTTGCAGTACATCTTAAATGTGTACACACAGATTTATATCTCAAACGAAATCTAGTGCTTCCCTAATCTGAGGTCATTTAATCCCCATTAGCGTTGTTATCCGCATCAATATCAAATTGCAGAAAACACCGTAAGGTTATTACTACAAAATATTGGCAGAGAAGCTGTGATATCATGGATATCATGGGAACATACTGTGAATCAAGGGAAGCAAAGTGGTCAGTGAACCAGATATAGGCCTTCGTTGTCTACACAGAAAACTCCATACGATCTCATTTGATAGGAGAGAGAGAGAGGGAGATAAGCACATGTTTCAGGGTGATAAGAAATAACAGTGTTGTCGTCGTCGCATATCGCCTGCTTACCTGTCGACAGCATAACACATCAAAATCACATCAGTGTCCGGATAGGAAAGCGGTCTGAGACGATCGTAATCCTCCTGCCCGGCGGTATCCCAAAGTGCCAATTCCACTTGTTTGTTGTCTACCTCGATATCCGCGACATAGTTCTCGAACACGGTCGGCACATAGACATCGGGAAATTGATCTTTACTGAACACAATCAGCAGACATGTTTTTCCACAAGCACCATCTCCGACAATGACCAACTTTTTCCGAATCGCTCCGGACATGGGCTAGAATGAGCGAAGATAGGAAAGATTGAAAAAACAAGTATCCTACTGAAAACGTCACGTGACCATATGTAGTGTTTCTCTTCGAAAGGAGTAAGTTTACCAAAAGTTCACAATGTATCTGGCACTAAACGTTTAACCTGATCTATAGTGAAATTGAATCAGATTCATCTTTTAAATAGAACAACAGTGTCGTTCTATCACAAAACAAACTGGTTTGAAACAAACTGGTTTGAGAGCTATTTCATATCAAGAAGAGTAATCGATGAATTGAAACTGGTTACAGAGTAAATACAAAACCGAGTAAAATTATTTTAACTATATGTATCAAATGATTTATCTATTACCTTATTAGGACTACTATGAAGCGTTTAATATGCTGATTACCAAAGCGAAAATGTTTTGTTGAAGCACTTCTGAGTCAGACAGATGTTTTCGCTATTTTGTTTGCTGTATACGCTCAAACTTCCGGTCGCTTTTTTTTCTATACACTTGACTAAACACCCATAATCATTTCTCCTTACATTACTGTAGGGCGAGAAATATTGTTTGTTCAAATCCCACGGGCACTGTTCAATTATTTCATTTCGTATCCTTGACTGACCACTATTTCCTGAAAACTGTTTCCATGGTACGTATGAAATAAATGACTTAAATATTTAAGTTCATATATAGAGTAACTTTATGTGTGAGAAAACAGTGTTATTTTACCCTCATCTTCCGTTATCATGCTCAGCATACCGCGTGCACGTTAGTACCTTGATTTCCCCACTGGGGAACTGTTCTGATTTCTTAACGTGGCTGACACTGTGCAATCTTTTATCGGTTTTGGGATAGTTGAATTGCAATCGATCGACCCTTCCTGAATGCATAACGTGATTACTTAAAGTATACAGACCAGATTAAAAAATCAGTGCCGGGAATTTTCATTTCTCAAAACAGTACTTGTTAGATTCCTTCTTTCATTGTTTGTTTGTTTCATATATATATAGATATATATATATATACATGTGTGTGTGTGTGAAACAGGCAGAGTGAGAACGATGTACGTTCAAGTACATTTGGGTAATGTAAGAGAAGGTACTTAAAAAATCTCGTTAGATTGGAACATTTTGTGTTTTGCATTGTAAGCATTTTGGATCAATTTCTACCTTCTACTCCTGTTGTTGACTTCGTAGAATGAGCCATGGAAGTTATTGGTAAGCGTTTTCAACATTCACCTCAATGCTCTTCTTCCGAGGCTATACCGCTTAGGGTTCACAGGCGACGGGATTTGTAAGCCCTGAGACCCCGTCGCACAGTCAGTAAACACCAGCTGAGACGTATGCTTTTGCAGCCGTTACTTCCTTGTTTGGTTTTACGCTAGGTGATAGACTGGCCGCTGGGAAGCACCTTTTATGTCCAACAGATGTGAAAAGCAACCAGTACATGAGACTGAGAAAGTGTGCAGCGAACTTGTTTAATCCATCAAAGGTGATTCAGTGTATGTACTCCCACTGGGGACCGGTTAGCAGTGCTCGGTAAACCATGTTCAACCACATCCGTGCTTACATGTTGTTGCTAACAGATGGGAATAATACCTCTGAGATGGTAATTATCGAATACTAAATGTCTCAACGCGAATAGATGAAATGTGCCAACTGCAGAGAAAAGCGACATGTGGTATTGAACATACATCTCTTCAAATGAACGGGAATATTATGTCTTGTCTTGCTTTCCCAGGTGCCAGGCTGGATTCCTCTATACGTAATGATATTTTGTCTATCGGATTGGCGTAAAGCAAATAAAGCCGGTACTTTCAAGCCTCTTCCTACCGATTTTCCTCCATTGGAAACAATTCGATTGAGACATACTACGGGATGCGTGTGTTTAAGCCATTGAATAACTGAACGCAGAGAGCCAGTTGAACTACTCCTCGACTTGCTCCATCCTCCGTTCAGGACGCTTACTTTATGAATGGGCGGTTTATCCACCTTACCGATGATTTCATTCCTTCATTTTTGCTTCCCGCTGATAACTGGGATAGGATGGGATCATTTTTCGGTGTTTCCCGACGCAAATGCACAAAACAGTAGATAATAAATGCTTCTCATTTAGACATATTTCGTTATGCTCTCTATCGCACCAACCGGTGAGTATCAAGTAGATGAAAGAAACCCGAAGGAGAGACAGGGATTTCAACACTGACGATTAATTCAGAAATCGAGATGCAAAAAGAGTTAACTATGTCTCGGATTGGCGTTCTATGTGCATTCAAGCTACTCCAGTTCTAAACTCACACATTTTGTTAGCTCTCCCGTGTCGACTGAGTGTACATATTGACAGGTTAAAATTAGTTTTGTGTCTATGTCGAATGATGTATAAAGTTTCCTTGAAACTAGGGCAAAATGTTTCACATATGACTTTGATTTTATGCACCCGTTCTCAATCCGGTGACAGGAAAATTGATTACAAATGATCAACCCGATGCCTCCTTAGAATTGGAGTTTGACGGTTGCGTAGATTCCGAATCGTCCCCAGTCAGTGCGCAGCGATGCTCCGTACATTTATGTTCCGCAGCGCATTATGTTCCGGATTCGACACGAAAGATTTTCTCTCTATTCCAACTGATTTTTTTACTGTCGTTTCACTCAATCGATAGCACTAATTGGCATCAGTAAGCTTCAAATAAATTTAGTATGCCATATGAGCTAAACTCGTACTTGTGTCTACAGCCTATCTCAGCGAGGAACGGTATTGCTCGCATTTACGAATTTATTGCCGCCTTCAAATTGCATCGCATCTGTTGTCTGATTTCGGTGCCAAGTTAAGCGGCTACCCGGCATATGACGCTATTTCCCGTTTGAAAACTAAATGAGAACCTCCAATGAAATGTGTTAAAACGCGGTTCTCAGTAATCAATGGTAAAATGAGCTGAAAATAGACAATTAACGGGAACTAGATCAAATTGATGGATTTGTCTGTGTCTGAGCGCAGGTAATATTTTATGACAAAGCTGAACACGAATTGCACTAAGTGATTGTAAACATATACATATTGGAATACATAGGTATGAATGATCTCAATGCGTTTCCCTGATGAGCTGCAACAACCACGAAATCATTCGTGTAGTTCCAGGGAAATTTTATCGTGTTATTCAGATACTACTTATCGTAACACGTACCTATTTGCATCTATTTATATCATATTTGGAACAAGCATGGTGAAAAAATATTGAAAATTGTTGACTACTAATCAGTAAGATGAAGAAAAACGGTTAAAAATATAATGGTGATTTTTGTGTGGATTTCACCGCACAACTACTGGTGCATTCTAGCCGATATCGGTTTCTGGTTGGTGTTGGATCAAACTGAGGTTGACTCGAAAAGCAATCAGGTTTTTATGGCATGAGATTTTTGAAGTTGAAACATGGATTCAGCAAACAGAATTGCATTCACTTAGTGTCACTTACAAAAATTTGCCACGATAGTATCCTAAAACCAATTTTGACCAAAACACTGTGATAAGCGACATTATTGAATGACAAGTGTATCCTGCTCTCTTATCGTGTCAAGTGCTCGCTCTCCCAATAGGACAACATATTGGGGTCAGTGACTAGGGGGAGGGAGAGTTACTTTGAACCCATGCTTTTACGTTTTTCCTGGTCAAAATGCACATTTCCCTAGACCGAAATCGTAAATTGGTACGTTGTTCAGCACGTTCAGTGGAATCAGCTATCAGGCCACGAAGATCTCAGTCCAAATGTAACACAGTTGAGTAAATCAATTTCTTTGTTTCAGAAAATAGTGAGTGATCTACATATTTTCAAATTCCGTTTTATTATCATTTTTTTAATGCGATGGAAAAGAGCACTGGACAGCTGTTTCGTCCTGTTTGGGACTCGTCAACAGTGCGTGCTGTCAGGACTCGAGCGGCGAACCGTCGGTTTGGGACTTCAAACCCTTACCCCTGAGCTAAATGGTCGACGGTCATCAATTTGTGCGAATGGCTCAAGCAATTTTTAAACTAGAAAGCTTGGATTAGCCCATTCGATTGTTCAAATGTATCAGGGACTCTTGATGGTCTTCGGTGTGGGTTTCACTCCTTAGGAGATCGTTAATTCCCCACTAGTTATCATTATTAATATAAATTGTCATATCTTTCTTTCTTGAATGATCCCAGTGTTCTAAAATATCCTACAAATTACTCAATGTGTAAACCGCTAGTCCTCCGTTCCATCTGACCTCCAAAACGATGACAGATTTGTTAGAAATAGATAAAAATCGTAAAACCATCCGAACAATGATATATGCAAAATTGCTGGCCATACATCAATACCACGGAAATTATAGGGCAAGGGAGGACTATTACTAACTGTCCACACGGTCGTTGATCCCCCTGAATAGGGCTCTGTGACAGTCTGCTCTTTGCTGTTGCTGTTGTGGAATTTGAACTTGTCAATAGCAGTGATTATTGTCACTCCATTCAACACATTGTGTCACACTGTTTGACCTTTACCTCTATGTTGCCGACCTCATTCTTCCAGCGATTCTGGATTGTGTTTTTCATCACCTTGGACGTGGTCACATACTGTGTTGTGTTTACATTGGTTACCAATTGCCAGATAGAAAGCATGTGAAGAGATAGTGAGTTTTCAGCCAGCATGCTGAATACTTAAGTTTAGTTAAATGAGAGAGAGATTTAGTATTTGACAAGGTTCCAGTTCACATGATGAATATGGTGGCAATTATTGATTTTAATTTATTCACAATTCACGCAAAATGGACATCTCAATATGTTTAAAGTTTAACTTTGATTAAACATTCAGCATTACCGTGTTTGTGTCTTTCGTCCTGTAATTCTTGTTAATGCTTCTGTTTTTATCATTATTGTTGCATTTGCTGTTGGTGTTGCTGCTGCTGCTGCTGCTGCTGCTGCCACTGTTGTTGTAGTTGTAGTGATCTTAGTTGTTTTTGTTGTTTTCGTTGTTAACTTGTATTTAATGATATAATACTGGTCAA